ATTCCTCAAATTCCGTAAGTAATGAAAGCACCGTAATAATTAACCAAACCCGAAACTTAATTTTATTACACTAATTATTCTTAATTTGGCAAGTTTCCGAGTTGGGGGTTTCCCTTTCCCTTTTTATATAAGAAAGTGGATTTATTGATCATTCTCTAATTAATACTGATTTACTTAAAATTCTATATGTTTACTTTAATGAGTGCATAAATATCTATACATGCTTTCCAGAATGTTGGGGTTTGTTTCAGGACTACATCAGGAAAAAAAAAATGTTGTAAATTAAACCTCCTTTGACTAAATTATTTAAAAATAATTAAACTACATTTTTAATCATAATTTTTAATGAATTTGCAAGTAATATCCATTATCACTACTTATTTATATCTATTTAAAAGTAAATTATTTATTATGCCCTCATTTGGGCTTCATTAAAATTTTAATTATTTTTCTCTTTTCTTATGAAATATACATTTTTCAATAAAATAATATTACACGTAAATTCAATTTTTTTCCATTTTTTAACCATACATTTTTGAAAAAGTTACTATTTAAAAGTATATATATTTTTTCAAAATCTCGTTAAAATGAATCCCAAACAAGCGTATAGTTTCTTCCTAAACAGAGATTAAGTTAGTTATAAAGATTTATACACGCCCATCTAATCAAATGATGGCAATAGCTTAGGATATACGTTTGAGAAAAGAATAAAGCTACTTGTACACCATTGTGTACATAACCATTTACACCCCCTCACATGGAGAGGGACCCATACATAATAAAATATTAGTGGGCCCCCTCCAGGTGAGGGGGGTGTACATGATTCTGTACACCATGAAGTGTACATCTAGCATCATTCTTGAGAAAATGGTGCAAGTTCCAATCGATCATCAGTTTGATTTGACTTCAATAGTTGAAAATGTCAACTTTCTACTGGAAAAATTGGACACGGCTGTTTCATAGAAAAGAATGTGGAATTATTGGGTAATGAGTACAAAACGTCCTTTTCGTCTGTCTATTTTATCTAGATCGTCCTTATTGTTTTGATTTGAATATATGAGTCCTCAATCGATCAAATCTTGCACAAATCATCCATACCGTCAATTTATGATAAATTTATCATCTCTTTAATTAAAAAAATAAAGTAAATAAAAAATAATGACAGCTAGAGTCTCAATTTTCTCAAAAAGTGAAGACGAGTCCCAATTAAAACAAAGTTAAATTTATATTAACCAAAAAATAAAAATAAAAAAATTCATCTCCCTAGCCTACCCAGCTACCTCCATCCCCACTCTCAAAGTAGACTGCTAGCTTAACATGAACTAGAAAGTTGTTCGTGATTTTCGGGTTCTCACGCTTTTATAAACATTAGTCTACATCAATAATCAAAGCACTTTAAGTTGTCTGTTTTATTTTCTTTTTGAATTAGCTAATAGATGGATTTATAACGGCATATTTCGATGGTGTTTGGTGGAGATTAAAATTAGATTTTTAGTGGATTGTGATAGAATTTTTTGAAATGTGTGGTTGAAATGATGTGGAACCCATAAAAGATGTGATTAATATTGATTGTTTGACTTTAATTTAGATTAAAATCAGATTTTAATCCGGCTCAAACAGACCCTTATAAATAATTCTAACTTTGTAGTGAACTTTGTCAGAAGCATGTAGACTCGGGAAATGACATTTGACTCTCCAAAATGTACATCATATTGGACACTTGTCTTGTTAAAAAATGATTGGATGAAAAAATATTTATTTTTTAAATCCGTCAAACTTGGTGTATACCAAGCATGATTGAGCATAGGGAACATTCTTACCTTAATTCTAAAGTTACAAGAGATACAAATATGAAAAAAATAAAACAAATGATTGAAACAAAAGTAAAACCACTCCTTTCAATCAATCCAGGACTTTTAGGGCATGTTCTCTTTACCGTTTTTAAGCTGTTTTTTATTTTCGAATTTCCTAAACAGTGAAAAAACGTTCTCTTTCCTATTTTCGAAAACGCGTTTTTGAAAACAAGTTAGAAATTTACAAAGAAAATCCAAAACAGCAAATTTGTCGTTTTGGGTGTTTTCAATTATAACCAAGTCAAAATTTTCAAAACGCGTTTTGGGTGTTTTCGGTTAAGCCACCACAACCATCGCCATTGCCGCCTGCACATACCACCGTACCACACCGTCGCACCCATCGTTGGCGATGTCGCAGCCACCACTGCAGAAGAAGTCGGCGTCGCCACCCCCCAAAACCACCACAACAGAAGAAGCCCACTACGCCACCGCCCAAAACCACCACAGCAGAAAAAACAGGTGATGCCATCCTCCAAAAACACCTCACCAGAAGAAGCCCACCACGTCACCACCCAAAACCACTGCACCAGAAGAAGCCCACCGCACTAGAGGAAGCCCACCACGCCACTACCTAAAACCACTACACTCAAAACCGCCGCACTAGAAGCACTAGACCAAGGGTTGTTATTTACTTCGACATCAGCTCTTCAACTTAAGGCATACAGTGACTTAGATTGGGGGCATGTTTGGATACGCGAAGATCAATAACAAGATATTGCGTTTTCATTGGCGACTCTTTGGTATCTTGAAAATCAAAGAAACAAAATACCATCTCTAGATCATCAGCAGAAGCTGAATATAGATCAATGGCCAACGTTTGTTGTGAACTATCCTGGCTTAGATACTTATTACATGATTTACAAGTAGCTCATCCTCAAGCTGCCTTGCTATCTTGTGCCAATCAGGCAGCACTACATATAGCAGTCAATCTTGTTTTCCATGAGAGAACCAAGCATATAGAGCTTGATTGTCACCTGGTTCGTGATAAAATTCAAGAGGAAACGTAGTTACAAATTATTTGAAAAGTGATTTACAAGTTGCAGACATATTGACACAACCATTATGCTCAAGTAACTTTTATTCCCACATGTTCAAGATGGAAGTAGAAAACATCTACTCTCTATCTTGTCAGGGGCTATCAAAATGTGGGAAGGAAGCCAAGAATATCAGTTAACACAGTTGGCCATGGCAGCAGCATTATGGAATCAGCAATGCCAAATCGTATTGGAAGATTCTGGAGGAAGATGACATGGAGGAAATGCACATGCTTTCTGTTTTTTTCTGCCCTCATTCTGTTATGTAAATTTGTTACAAGATTCTCCATTTGATTGTATAAATAGAGCAGGCGAGATCCATTGTAAATGAGAAGAATTGGAATTCATTTGTTTTGTACCTTCTTTACAAATTAGTGAAATTATTCTTTCCTACATTTATCTTAGTTTTTGCTTTCATATTTTTTTATACTCTTCGTCCAACACCCTAAACAAGACCATCCATTTAGCACCATCATCACTAACATTAATTGTAACTTAGTTCCCATCTTTCTT